GCTCCTCTTGAACTTGTTCATGATGGCCTCGAAGCGCGTCTTGAGTGCGGGGCCTTTCTTGTTCTTGAGGCCAAAGTCGGTTGCCTCGGCGAGCGACGCGGCGATCGCGTCCCACGTGGCCATCACTGCACCGTGGGCCGCCGCCCAAGGCTCAAGCAACCCGACGGAGCGGAGCATGGCGATGTCGTGCTTGCAGGCAAACTTGCTGTTATTGGAGCCCGTGGCTACCTCCTCGGGCGCGACTTCGGTAGGAGGCTTGATGGCAGGGACAGGCTCCATGGTCATCCGAATGCGTCACCCGGACACTCCCTTGACCCCCAATTCGACTTGAGATTCTCGGCGAACTCGAGATCCAGCCATTTGTCAAAATCCATTTATACAGGTTTCGTAGCAATATAGCAATATAGAGGTCAATGAGAATCTCAACTCGAAAAATGGGGCCACCGAAAGTCCCCGATTGGCCCGGCGAGATCTGCGCACGAACTCAGGCACCGCAACTACAACTGTGCATCATATGCTGTGCATCTGTGTGTGCTCTCATTGCGGGCTCAGAGGGTTGGATACAAATGTATAGGACGATGCTTCAATGGCACCTGCTTTATTATATCGTGCCACGATGCCAGTTGAAATCACATTTGTGTCGAGGGATCTGAGTCGCCGATATCGAGTAATGACATTGCCGTTAACGGTGTCACGCTCGTTCAGACATGCATACAGATCAGGGCGCGCAAGAGCATGCGCTGGGTCGGATGTTGTGCATAGGACGCTTGTGGCTACACGCTTGCTCACGTTCGATTGCTCTATGTCATCGCCATCCGATGTCCGTGTACGGTCATCGGCTGAGCGTTTGACTTCAGCTATAAATATGCATTATACACGGACAAAATCAATTCATTGCTGCTAATTGTATGCATTATACTCACCTAGCTTGAGCCATTCGAACACCACCTGGAATCGCTGCTGACTAAACAGCTGATCTGACGGAGGGCGCGAGAGCCGTCCGTTGTCTGTATGTATCTGTGTCGCCGCTCAAACAGCAAACTCACTCATTCTTGTATTCTCCTCTTCTTGACACATTCGCCACCATGCTCTCTGTCTCCAAGCTCGCTGTCTGCTTGGGTCTCCTCGCGTCGAGTGCGATGGGGCAATTCTGCTTCCAGTCGGTCGAGAAGATCGGCGCCGACCAGAGCTACAACTTGACACTGTCGGCCGACGTCTCGACCAAGACCATCACGCACGACAAGGCGACGTACATTGCGCTGCACTTTAACCAGCTCGACTTGCCGCACGGCGCATCGGTCACGGTGAGCGCGCCGGATGGCCAGAACGCGGTCACGTACACAGGCAAGCACAGCGACTTTTACGCCGAGTTCATTCGCGGTGACGCCGCCAAGGTTACGTACCACGCGCCGCCAAAGGGCAAGGGGGCGTCGCCCGTGATCTCGATCGACCGGTACGCCAGTGGGTTCCCCGAGAACAGCCAGAAGCACCCCGAGGCCATTTGTGGCAAGGACGACTCGGAAGCCGCCATCTGCTACAAGGACAAGGAGCCGACGCAGTACAAGAAGGCGCAAGCCGTCGCGCGTCTCTTCATGAACGGTTCTGGGCTCTGCACCGGTTGGCTCTTTGGCTCGGAAGGCCACTTGATCACCAACAACCACTGTATCGGTGACGCCAGTAAGGCCAAGAACGTCCAAGTCGAGTTCGCCGCCGAGTGTGCGACGTGCAATGACCCGAACAACACCAAACAGCTCGGGTGCAAGGGCAAGGTCGTCGCCTCGAGCGTCGAGTTCATTCACACCAACAAGGCGCTCGACTACACGCTCGTCAAAATCAACTCCAAGGACCTCGCTGCGTACGGCTACCTCACGGCGCGCGAGTCGGGGCCTGTCCTTGGCGAAGAGATTTACATCCCGCAGCACCCCGCCGGCAAGCCGACGCGCATTGCTGCCAAGCTCGACAATGGCCAGCCGGGGACGATCGAAGACATGGGCCACGCCTCGTG